CAATAATGCTAACAACAATAATGTTTTTCCTTTTTCAACTTTTTAGGGAAGTGATTTCTCGTTCAGTATTTATTTTTGTTCGTTCCTTCCAACGGCAATAAGAATAATTAAAAAAGTTGTGTCTTCCTTGAAAAATTTGGAAAATGCTGTTTAATTTTTTAACTTCGAGCGGGAAATTGTATTCTCAACGATAATTTTTTTGAAAGATATCATATTTGCCAACATTAATAAAATAACGATATTCTTTGCTGACAACTTGACAAATAGGGTGAAAATTGTCATCTACTTTTTGAACTTTTTTGACCAGAGCATATTTGTCAAGAACTTTTTTCAATAAACTAAATAACCTTTCTTTGGAAAAAGATAAATCGAGCCGTAAAGTAAATTTTTGTTCGCGGGCGTGAACCCCTTTATCGGTGCGGCTGGCGGCTAAAATGCTAATTTTTTTTTGAAATACTTTGCTGAGAATATTTTCAACACAACCTTGAACTGTAATTCCCTTGGGTTGTATGGCTCAACCAGCGAAATTACTTCCATCGTAAGCAATAGAAATTAGATAAGAATACAATTTTTGTCCTTTTTGCTTCTCCATGAGACATTAAAATTAAAGCAAATTAATACTTATTTTAGCAATAAAAAAAGCAAAACGCTCGTGCATGACAAACCAAAAACTATATAAATTAAATTAAGGAGACAGGAAGTGAGTGAGATGATGATGATGAAAGAGATATAAAATCGTCTCTCTCTCTCTCTCTCTCTCTCTCTCTGATAATTTAAAAACTAATTAACTTATAAAATAAAAATATGGTAGACATTACACAATATCAAGAAAAAATTATTATAAATATTGAAGATTTAGTTAATACGGCGGGTATTCTTAATGCTGAACTTACCGATAAAGTAAGGGAAATTGCAGAGAAAATTCCGCACTTAAAAGAGTGAAGCAAGCGAATGAGTACTTGACGAAGTGCTATTTATGAAGCAGAAGATGTTGAAGTAATTGA